TTTGAATCTCTGAAGAAAATCAAGTATAACTTCAGCAAGTTATATTTAAGTACAACATAATGGTTTAATAATTTGTTCTAACTATAAGTAAAAGTTTTAACAATTGCATAATAAAGCTAAATGAGTTCTATTTCTAGTAAGATTATATAGAATATAGTTAATATATGTCTATATAATAGCTTATTCTAATTTTCAAATAAAGTAAACAGAATTGTCTAAAAAAAAATATATATATATATTTTTGCAAACAAATAATTTGATCTATAATAGTAATATATATATAAATATATATATTTTTTTTGATATTAAGGTAACTTCTTGGCCGATTCTCTTTATTCAATTATGGGTTAAGTTTTACCATATATTAAGCTCTCTTAGACAGCCCATACAGTATAAATATTTGAATAATACATATTAGCTATATGTACAACTTTGATTGCCTATTTAAATAGTCTGTTTATTATTAAGTTTTACACTAAATGCCATATCTATAATCTTACTAGGGAGTTATCTATTTAAACTCTTTGTCCTTTATGTAGATCAACACTTTTATAACCAAATGAAAGTAAATCCTTTAAAATACTTAGCTTAAAACTTTAAAGCAGGTTCAACTAGTAAGCTCTTTGTTCTTGAAGTAAATTTGCTAGAGCTTTTTAAATTTACAATCTAATTAATCTAGACTTTAGTATCTTACGCTGAGTTTGTGAACAAGTACTTGTGAGCCAAAGCTATTACTATTACCTACTTTTGCTCTTGTAAAGTTTACTCAAACCCCAGTACCTACTTTACAGACTATTAAAAGTACTCACTGAATTCTAAATTACTAATCCAAATAGCCCAGAAGGAATTTTACCTATAAATTACCAGTCTTCTGGTAACCGCAAATTAAGCAGATCCTTTTTTTCTAATTTTAGTAATCTAGTTGGTGGAAGTGTCTCTTCAAACTAGAGTTCAGGGCATAGGAAAAAAATTGGGCATGCCCATATGAGCATGCCTCTGAGCTAAAGCATGCTTCTCATGCCTATAGATATTTTTTTTTAAATCATATAAATAATATATAGTTCACAATTTTTAAAAATCTTGCATATTGATTTAGTATCTATAGTTCTAGTTTACCTAAACTTATTAGCTAATTAAAATAACTTTGAACATCATATAACAAGAGCATGCTCTTTGGACTTGAGGCATGCCTATAAGTATACCTTAGAGCATGCTCTTAGAGTATGCCCTATACCTCTGTGCTTTGAATCCTACCTTAACCACTTCATCTATTTAGTTTTCTTGATTTGACCTGGCTATTTCAAACTACCAATCCAGATAGCCCAAAAAAAACTTTTACCCAAAGGTTACTGGTCTTTTGATAACCTTAATTAAGCAGATCCTTTTTTTTTGACCTTGGTGGCCTGGTTGATGAGATGTCTTGCTATACACTTTGATCCTATTCAGTTTTTAGTTTTTTCTGATAATAATCTTTTATATAGTACTGTCAAAGGTTTGTATTATCTCTCCACTTGGGTCTTGCCAAGTAGGTATCCATCTCTTTGGTTTCTTGGTTTTACATAGTTTATCGATTGATAATTCTTCTAGATATCTAATATGATCTTAATTATAAATTCTAAATCCAACCAATCAATAAGAGTAGTAACTGTTCTACAACAGAATATTTGAATTTCGTTAACAGTAGGATTCGAACTCTGAATATACTCTTGGGGTGTGACAATCTCACTACTTTACTAAATCACCACACTTTTCTATATATAAATATTTTAAAAAATAAACTGTATATCAAATTAAAATTTGTATCAAACTGAAATAATTTGTATTAAATCAATAATTTGTATTAAATCAAAATAATTATAATGCTATTAATATTTATTGTTATTCTTTAATTCTAATTCTAACAAAATTAAATTTTAATCTAATAAAATTTTGTGCTAACAAGAAAAAACCTATCATTAAATTTTATATTTATTGTTTACCAGAATTAATTTATCTAGTTTTGTTAAAGATTATGTTTAATAATTTATAAGTTTAAAATTAATAACAGATTTTTCAGTAATACTTGTTTAATTAACAATTAAACACAAAATAATATCATATCTATTCCCTATTATTATTATTATTATTATTTTGTTTTATTGTACAGTATATAAAATAAAATTTGCAAAATTATATGATAAACTTAAAATATTTTATAAATTTTGTGAATTTTTGTAATATTACAAAATTATGTAATTTTATGTGATATTTTATAATCACAAAAAAATCATTGTTTTTGCACTGGGGTAGTTGTAATAGTATACCAGGTTGGTGAAGAGTCCCTAAACAGGATCCTATTTTTACCATCTTACTAATATTGAATTTATTATTTTTTATACCAAGTTGGTGAAAAGCCTATAAGCAAGACCTTTTTTTAATCACATTGATTATTATTTAATGATTAGAATAAATTTTGCTTTGTCAATTTTGGGGTAAACTATAACAATGAAGAACATATACGGGTATTGCTATCGAGCAGCCTTAGCAAGTTTCGGCTGGCTATTACTTTTTTTTTTTTTTTGATATGTGACGCATTATCTGTCGTTCCGACATGCCATTGCCATATTGTGACTGTCGTCTCAACAGGCCACAATTTAAACAATCCCTATACTCAAAAGCGTATTCAAATTCGATAATGTTCTTACTATGGCTGCCGTCCCGGCAGGTCAACTCAATCAAGTACTATCTTACTTCCGGACAGGGTGGGTGGGATCGATACAACCAGAGCGAAAATCGGGTTCGCAGAAAAGACAAAATTAATTCCCATCATTTCCTGCTTGCCTACTGATATACTATAATCCAATTACCTCATAGTAATCAATTACCTCATATTTACTAAGATTAATCACCCTAATCATACTTCCATCAATAATCATATTACTAATTACTTAATGTCTCATACTTTCGTTCTATCAATCAACTACCCCAACAACACCCCGAAAATTCTGCGATAATAAAACTCTTAAAAAGTTGTTAATACTGGGGTTAGCGATTATATTAGTGTTTGTTATTGATGTAATATATAGTAAAATCGCACAAGGAAAACTTTTTGTTAGAACACTAAAGATGGTTTCATATGTAGATTTTTGAGTTGTGGGCGATTATTGGCAAAAAGAACGGTTGTTTTTAATTTTCGGATTGTGTTACGTTACACCTGATCTTCAACTGTGATTGGCTCGTGATCACGTTTTGCAGAGACAAAAGCTGCCTCGATACTAACGTATCGAGCAGCTATTAAAAAATAATAAATTAAATATTAGCGGAGAAAGTAAAAATTGGGTTCTGTTTAGGGACTTTTCACCAACGCGGTATATATTGCAGTATTGGATTACAATCACTATTTAAAAAAAAGCTAGGTTACTAATATACAATTGGGAGAAAGCCAATATGTGGCACTAACTAATCGATAAACTATATAAGTCACATCACAGCACTTTTAGGGCGCCCTGGTTCTGCGTAACAAATTTGTATACAATATTTATTTCTTGCCATATAGCCTACCGTTTTACGACGAGCTCTAGAACTATACATTCTTATATATATAGTAAAATCTATCTATTTATAAATTAACATTAGCGCGTAAGCGACGGATTACATACTATATATAGTTTGTTTTTAAATAATTTCGAATTTAGATAGTGCGGAGAAAATTAATGTTAATACGGTCTCTATTATTAAATATGGCTATTATAAAATAAACCTTTTTATTTGTCCAAAGACCAGTTAAAAAAGTACCAAATAAATGCAAATTTTTTTATAAAACTTGCTCGAAATCGGCCCATAATTGCAGCGAGACCGGTTAACATCCCTATGATATGGGAGTTTGAGGGTATAACCCTTTTAAAATGTTATTTGAAAACGCATGAAGCTTCTACGGTGCAGGACACCTAAAGACAAAATACGTGATTTTGATGTCTTTTTGAATTCTCGCATTTTGATTGGCTAAAAATTAATTGATAAAAAAATATTTTAAAAAATATTTTTAAAATAAATTAAAAATTAACCAATAGTAGTAAGTCAAAACATGTGACTTGTCCATTTTTAGTACAAAACATATGAAAATACTATATCTTTAAACTCATTAATTAGAAAACTATACAATAATTTTTTAAAAAAAAAAGCCGCTAAAGTTGTAGTAAATTAGTTAAACTACAAAATAGCGGCCTATTTTTTATGATATTGTTTTTCTATTAAATATTATTAACGTTTAAAGTTTGTGAAGTCTTTAAGTGTTTCGCACTATACCTTCAAAAAATTAGAACAATGCACTTGTTAGAAAAACAATGCTATATTAAGAGTAGCGTATATACATACTTTTTTGATTTTATCTTATGCGAAAACTTTCATATTTTTATAAAGACACGAATATCGATATTGTAATAAATTAAGCGACCAAGCAAATATGTATTAGCATTAGTTCGTCTCTATTTTGCTGTCAAGTGTTTCCATATAACAATCTTTTTATTATTTTCGGTAAACCGTCACCTCTATCCTTGATTTCAAATAGTTAAGCTTACGATATTCGAATCTTAATGTTGTGGAAACTTTCGTTCCGACGAAACTTATTCTGCTCAAGCAAAACGGTTTAAATATTTAATCCAATATGAAGTTTAGATTCCAAATGTTAATTTTTTTTTTTTTTTTTTTTTAGCGGATCAATAATGATAAATCAAAAAGGTAAAGGCCAGTGTTATTGCATAATTTAGCAACAGAGAAAAAAAAAACAATTACCAATATATACTGTGAAGGTAAAATTTCCAAAGTTTATCTAGAATTATTAAGTTGCAAATATATGTGCACGTTAACGTTAAGAACTAATTATTAAAAAGTTTTCAACACAATTGGATAATGAAATTAGGAAACTGTCTATAATAATATGTAATCTAGCATAGAATATCTTTGCTCATTATATAATGATTATGTACAAAATATTTTACAGAATTGTTGTTGGGCAATTAAGATTACCATTTACCATACTTTAATTCTAATCTTTTTTTTTCTTCAAGCGGTATCCTAAGTAACGTTGTTAACACCGGCAGCAATGCTTTCTGTAATTTCAGTTAAAGATCGAAATGAATGCATTTAAATAACAATTGAAATATGGCAGGGTGAACCTGAGTTACCAGCTAGCAAAACTTGCGTTGATTGGTTATTTTATGTAAAATCTGAGATGCAAAGTAAAACCTGATAGGGAGAAATCCGCGATCAAATAAAAATTTTTCTAAAATTTGGGTGAAGATATCTTGACAACCACTTGATCAAATTCGATGAAATTTTTTTTTTATTTGCATTCAAATAATAATAATAATAATAATAATAAATTCATTAAATTTGATCAGGCGGTTGTCGAGATATCTTCGCTCAAAGGTTTAAAAAAACTTGAGCAACTTCTATTTTGACAAATGTTTTGATTTTCTAAAAATTTGAGCAAAATATCTCGACAACTACCTGGTCAAATTTGATGAAAATTTTTTTTTTTACTCGAATTCTATAGATCCATAGAAGTCAAATGAAAAAAATTCATCGAATTTGGTCAGGTGGTTGTCGAGATATATTCGCCCAAAGTTTTAGAAAACTTTGGCGTAGCTTCCATTTTGATGGAAGGGTTGATTTTTTTTAAAAATTTTGAGAAAATATCTCGACAACCATCTGACCAAATTCGATGAAATGTTTTTATTTGAATTTTATAGATTCATAGAATTCAAATAAAAAAATTTGGCCAGGTGGTTGTCAAGATATCTTCGCTCAAAGGTTTAGAAAAAATTGGCGCAGCTTTATCTTTTTTTTAAAACTTTGAGCCAAGATATCTCGACAATCACTTGACCAAATTCGATGAAAATTTTTTTTCAAATAAAAAAAATCTTCATCGCATTTGATCAGGTAATTGTTGAGATATCTTCGCTCAAAGCTTAAAAAAAAAAAAAAAAGAAAAAAAAAATCAAAACGCTTATCAAAATAGAAGCAGCGCCAAAGTTTTAAAAAAATCAAAACGCCTATCAAAATAGGAGATGCGCCAAAACTTTTCTAAACTTTGAGCGAAGATATCTCAACAACCACCTGATCAAATCTCTGAATTTTATGAATTTATAGAATTTAAACAAAAAAATTTGGCCAAATAGTTATCAAGATATCTTTTTACTTTGATCGCGGATTTCACCCTATCCATACCAAGTTTTACTTTGAATTTCAGATTTATATAAAATAACCAATCAGCGCGAATTTTACTAGCTGGTAACTCAGGTTTCTCCCTGTCGTATTGAAATTATAATAATAACTATTAATCATTGAGCTGTTCTCAAAATAAAATAACATACCCGCTGCTCTTTATGTTCCAGGAATTTAAGTATAACGTCTCGCAGATAATCAATCTTAACATCATCATCTAATCCTGTATTAATGGTTGTAGAAGGATTAGATGGCGCTGAATTTCTTATCGATGTAGGAGATGGTGGTTGTAAAGGAGACGTTGGTACACCACGATCTGATGATTTCTGAAGTTTTCGAACTTCTTCTTTGAGTGACTGAATGATATGAAATTACAAATAATTAAATATCACAAACATAACTGATAAAAAAAAAAACGATAAACAGATATAATTTTACCCTATTATTGTTTCTTAGTTGACCTTCTCGCATACGGGCTTCCTCGAGTAGTTTTTCATACTCTTCTTTATTTCGTTGAAGGTTATATTCTAACTCCCGATATTTGACCTAAAAATTTTATATACAATCATCTATATGTAATAAATATGGCTTAAAAAACATTAATTAATTATAACCTACAGAGTTCTCGTCAACATTAGCCATTTTTGTGGTAAGTACGCGCACATTTTCGTCTAATTCTCGTATCTGCTTTTTCAGAGAATCGTTCTCATCTTGTGCTAATTTCAAAAGCTCATCTTTTTCTTGATATTCTATCATTAGCTTGCTTTTTTCTTGCTCTTTTTCTGTCAATTGTTTAACTATATCTTGTATTTGAACATCGGAAGTACGTTTAATTTCGGTTAATTCTAACTCTACTTTTTCTTTTTCTTGTTTATAATTTTCAGACTGCTTGGTCACAATTTCAAACTTCTCTGTGATTCCATTTAAATCTTCCACTTTTGTTTTCAAAGTTTCTTTCTCTCGCTTCATTTCCTTAAGATGTTTCTTTAATGATGTTACTTCTTCTTCCAATGCTTGAGAACGCTCTTCAGTTTCTTTTAACTGACGCTCCCTCTCCTTGGAACCATGTTGTAATGTTTCGAGCAATGATTGTGAAGAGTCGAATTCTGCTTGTTTCAGTTGTAATTGATCAAACAATCCTTCCTTTTCTGTCGTCAATTTTTTCAATTTGTCGGTTGCGTTTTGTTCAGAAACTCGAAGTGACTCCTGGAGACGCTCTATCTCCTCACTCATATCTTTTTTTTCCTTATCTAGAGCATGAATTCTTGATTGGGTCTTTTTTAGCACGGCAAGTGTTTTATTGAGTTTGTCATTTTCTTCGAGTTGTTGCTTTTTTAGGTTCTCAACTTCAGAATCATATTTTTGAATTGTCGCTCTAGCCTCGTTTAATGACTCTTGAAGATCACGTTCTCGTTGTGTTGTAGATTTCAATCTTGATTCTACATCTGACAATTTTTCGAGAGCTTGGGTTTTGGCAGAATGAAGTAGTGCGTTATCTGATTCGAGTACTGTATAGTTTTTTTCTGTCGCTGCCAATTTTTCCTTCGTTTCTCGAGCTATTTCCCTCTCATTGTCCAATTCAGAATGAAGTTCATTTGACTTCTTTTGAGCACTTTCCAAATCTTGTATAAGACTCTCTCTTCCAGAAATTAGATCATCTCGTTCCTTAATGAGTTCTTCGATCTTTTTTTCTGTCGCTGCAAATTTCTCCTTCATTTCTCGAACTACTTCCCTCTCATTGTCCAATTCAGAATGAAGTTCATTTGAATTCTTATGAGCACTTTCCAAATCTTGTATAAGACTCTCTCTTCCAGAAATTAAATCATCTCGTTCCTTAGTAAGTTCTTCGATCTTTTGTTCTGTAGCTGCCAATTTTTCCTTCGTTTCTCGAGCTATTTCCCTCTCATTGTCCAATTCAGAATGAAGTTCATTTGAATTCTTTTGAGCACTTTCCAAATCTTGTATAAGACTCTCACTTCCAGAAATTAAATCATCTCGTTCCTTAGTAAGTTCTTCGATCTTTTGTTCTGTAGCTGCCAATTTTTCCTTCGTTTCTCGAGCTATTTCCCTCTCATTGTCCAATTCAGAATGAAGTTCATTTGAATTCTTTTGAGCATTTTCCAAATCTTGTGTAAGACTCTCTCTTCCAGAAATTAAATCATCTCGTTCCTTAAGGAATTCTTCGATCTTTTTTTCTGTCGCTGCCAACTTCTCCTTCATTTCTCGAACTACTTCCCTCTCCTTATCCAATTCAGAATGAAGTTCGTTTGAATTCTTCTGAGAACTTTCCAAATCTTGTATAAGACTCTCTCTTCCAGAAATTAGATCATCTCGTTCCTTAAGGAGTTCTTCGATCTTCTTCTCTAGCTCAGCGTGGGTGCACATGGATGTCGAAAGTAATTTACTCTTGGCGTAAATTTAAATGATTTAAATGGTAAAAATGATTTTTGATCGTAAATAATTTGTATGTCGAAATATTTTTGTGTCGAAATAGTATCTAAGTGCCCTAATTTCAACTCGTTAGTGGCGGAAAAAAAATTTGCAGATCTCTCATATTTGGCGAATTTTTACTGGAGCCACCGAAAATCGGCTAGCGCATAAACCCGCATAGCGGTTTTTTCATAGAAAATTCGCATAATTTGATTAATGGTGGAATCCCTAACCTAATAAGTCAAATAATAGAAATTCGTACGTACGTACGTACGTAGTCGTATTTGTTAAATCTCTATTAATAGAAATTCATAGTTGTATTTGTTACGAAGAAACAATACTACTAAAAGTAGTAAATCTCTATGAAAAGTTGCGTGATGAAAATTTAAAATCAAATAGAACAGAAAAAAAATATAATAAAATAGA